TTAAAAATAATAATAAATTTGTCAACGTCGCACCCAATTTCACGCGCAATCGTACGCTTTTGAGTAATTTAAATTTTGTCTCTTGTTATTCTGGCACTGCGCGCAATCATAATAATCGTATACCTAAAAAGATAAGACGCGCGCAATCGTACTTCGCCGATAATTTAAAGTGTAACATTTTCTTTTTTTTGACCACAACTATTTGACATACATTTGTTCATTAGTGAGCTATTTTAGCAATTAAAATGAATGATCGATTACTAAAAAAATTTTTTTTGTTCATTTAAAACGATACAGATAGCTACTTAAGACGTAAAAATGTAATTATTATAAACAGTTAACAGAAAATGGTGACAATATTCTATTAATACGTTTAGATAGTGTAGTAAGTTTACACATAGGTAAATTGAATGGTTCAGTTTGGAGTAGGCAGTACACTTTAAACAACATACTATGGCTATTGGCTGTACTATTAGTATTTTATGTATAGGTACCTATTACCTAGGTACTTAGGTGTATGCAGAAAGATGCAAGTAGCAACGTGCAAATTATTATATCAGTATATGAATAAAAAAACGAGATGTATTAAAACGTGCAATGTGCAATGATAATTGCGATGTGCATACAAAACGTATAAATAAAATAAACATCTGAAATATATTTAATTCATACCCGGGAGAACATTTCTAGGTTCACTATCGAATTTGGTGACAATTTCATCACTTTCTTATGAGCAGAGTTCATGGACATGGCCAATAACACAGTCTTTTTAAATTTTAAGTCCTTGTTCGTCCAATCACAGCTATACAACCCAAAATTCACCGTGGATCTCTAGACAGTAAGCAAATTTACAATATAATAGTATATAAAATAAAACTCACAACATAAATGTAGTTTTTTTTACCCCGTCTTCTATGTGGTTGAATCCGTAACAAAAAATATACAGTTCAATGAGGAGCGAAGCSAGTCCGCAGACGAATTTCAAAATTGTCGGAGATACAATAGAATCGCCATTGAGATACGCCTATGGACAAAAAAATTTAATTCGAAATATGTTTTTGAAATTGCATTTATATTATTAACTTTGTCGTTTATAAATTACAATCAAAACTTACTATTGAGATGAGAAATATCAATGTGATTACGGAGTACGAACCATCAGTAATTTGAAGCAGGACTGTAGATCGGACGACATCGAAAAATATTTCATACTTCCTATTATTAGTATTATAGTACAGGGAAATATATTATAATTAATTATTTTATATAAAAAAAGGGTTTTTGCCTATTCTTAAGCACATGTTTTTTAAACTATGACATTTTATTGATTTTAATATGGTTTAGAAGTTTTGTTGGAATACCTAYCAATTAAACATAAAAATCAATCGGTTTTTGGCAGTTTAATTTGAATATACAATAATATGTTTAACCATATAAAAACATTTGCCATTGTTAACAAATATTTTAGTTTACATTGAAATGAATCATTAATAATAATTTTATACTYACTCGACTATCTTTTGATTATCCTTAATGTGGGTAATCAAGTCGTCATAATGGTTCGGAAATTTTATTGATACGTCGTTTTTAATGTCTGCAACACAGGAAAAGCGCATATTATAATATTATTACATAATATAGCATTAACACGGTATGCCTATTTGTATAATTTGTAAGCTAGAAAAAATAGGATGGCTTAGAGGCGATTTKTSATCTCCGAAAACGAATAATTGAGTAGTTCAAGTCACAGTAAACATGTGACTTGAAAATA